GTCAACATCCGCCCGCAAGGAAAATGGCTATCGGTTATCAAGAAATATATAAAAAGGTAAGAGCATTTATTTAAGTAACATTAGTCAGTATGTACATGTTTTTTGTTTAATCTCAAACAAATGTGGACCACTTCTTAAATCCCGCAATGATAAATGTATACACATTATAATTTTTGTTTAATTTTAAACAAATGTGGACCACTTCTTAAAGCCCGCACCGCAATGATAAATATGTATACAGTATACACATTATCATTAAATATTATCGTGCATGTCGTAAGAAACAGACGAGCAACGTGAGGTGAGACTGACTGCAAACCAGTATGTACATGTTTTTTGTTTACTTCAAACAAGTGTGCACCACTTCTTAAATCCCGCATTGATAAATATATACACATTATCATTATTCCCCGTGTGGGTTCCGGGGTCCCATTGTGGGGAAGACAATACATGTGTGGACCACTCCTTAAATCCCACAATGATAAATGTATGCACATTATCTGTTGGCTTTTTCATATTGTCTTATATACCGCCTTTTCTTACTATTTGCTGCCCAGTTTCTATGCATTTCCTCTTGAGTCAAAATAGATTGTTATCTCATGCTCATATTTTCATTTATTTCAGCGATACTTCAAGTCAACTTTCATCATGAGGATGAACAAGCTACTGATGATCAGCGCTCATCTACACCTAAAACACGCAAGAGGAGGGCATTAATTGCTTCAAAAACAGACGAGCAACGTGAGGTAAGACTGGAAACCATTCGAGTGCGCACTGCTGAAGCCCGTTCATCTCAATCAGACCAGCAACGGAAAGCAAGACTCGAAAACGTTCAAATGCGCACTACTTTATCCAGGCGAACACTGCATGTTGATTTGAATCTTGGTGCATTCCATTACACCAGCAATTATGATTGGTCTTCATCCACTCTCGCTTATTGGCAAAATGGATAAATTGTGCGTACATTGCAGTGCCTTCAAATTTAAGAATGACATGCCGGGTATGTGCTGCGCTGGTGGAAAAGTTAAATGGCCAGTATTACATTCACCACCCGAACCATTATCATCATTGGTAGTAGGTGACACAGGCCAGTCGACACATTTCTTGGCAAACATAAGTACATTTGCAAATATGTCAACAAAGGAGGCGATATGGCAGTCTTTGGAGTGGGACATGCAGCTGCATCTATCGATGAAATCAAGCAATATCAGCTGGGGCGCTACATTAGTAGCAATGAAGCGGTATGGCACATTTTCTCATTTCCAATTCATGAATGACATCCAGCAGTTGTTCATTAGGCAGTGCACCTTGACAATGGACAGCGCGTGTACTTCACTACAGAGAATGCACATGCACGAGCATTGTTACCACCGCCAACCATGTTAACTTATTTTTCTCATTGTGTAGAGATATGTTTGCAAAGACACTGCTTTACTCTCACCTGCCAATATACTACACACGGAATGAATGCATCAGCTAAAAAGTTTCAACGTTGCAAGCAAGGTCAAGCAGTTGAAGGACATCCTAATTTATATTCTACTGATATTTTAGGCCGTCTGTACACTGTTCATCCCAAAAATGCAGATTGCTTTTACTTGCGATTATTTTTAATCAACAAACGGGGACCGGCATCCTTCCAGGACTTGAGAACAGTTTATGGTAAAGTATGCGCTACTTACCGTGAAGGTTGCCAAGAATTAAATCTTCTTGAAAATGATGCACATTGGGACACTTCACTCGCTGATGCTTCGAATACTGCTCGACCACAGCAAATACGCACATTATTTGCAATAATATTAACAACTTGCTTCCCATTCATTCCAAAAGAGCTTTGGGAAAAATACAAAGACTACATGAGTGAAGACATCCTGGCGTGAAACGAAGCATGATCAGGACCTTCAATTAATACCAAATGTATATTATGAGGCATTTGTTTGCATTGAGGACATATGTTTGACAATAACTAACAAAGCACTGGTTCAGGTGGGACTGGCTCCACCAGAACAATCTGCAAACAACCTTTTCGATCGTGAGTTGCCATGAATCCGAACATCTAAGACAAATTACCAGGCGGTGTGACAACGTATAAGTCTATCGATACTGTAATGAATCAGGACGAAATTGTTAATTATCCAACTGAGTTCTTAAATTCACTTGATTTGCCAGGCATGCCACCCCACATTTTAACCGTGAAAATTGGCGAGCCCATCATTCTTCTCAGAAACATCAATCCGCCACGTCTTTGCAATGGTACCAGGCTTTCAGTGAAAAGGCTGATGCTCAATATCATCGAAGGTACAATTTTAAATGGGAAATTTAAGGGCGAGAATATACTTTTGCCACGCATCCCAATGATTCCAACAGACATGCCATTTGACTTCAGACGCTTGCAGTTTCCGGTGCGACTCGCCTTTGCAATGACCATAAACAAATCACAGGGACAATCCCTACAAGTGTGTGGACTACGTTTGGAACATCCATGCTTTTTACATGGGCAGCTATATGTGGCCTGTTCACGCGTCGGAAAACCTTCTAATTTATTTGTGTACGCACCAGACGGAAGAACAAAGAACATTGTTTACCCAAAAGCACTTCAGTAAACACATTTTTAATGTTAAATTACCGGCACAATGATCCAATATCATTACATTTTGTTAAAGCGATTTTCCTTTCAATTCACTTTCTATTGTAGCAACGCGTGCAGGGTTGTTTACAGCAATTAGCAAATGTGCTCATTTCGTAATTATGGTGTATTTTTCCTCTTTTCATTGCTTTTCACTAGGGTAATTTTTCCAACTGCTTCGATGAAGGAGAAAGTAGTATGTGAACTGGGGGATGGGTGGTTACAATAAACTGTTTACTGAGATAGATTTAAGTTACAGTAACTGCCTTACCCATTCAAAGTTTTATTAGCTGTGGTTTAGCTGTTGCACTGTACATCGCTAGCGTGAAGACACATTTCTATGTTCTCTATTTTCCATGTAGCCAAATTACGCCACAGCAACGCGTGGCCGGGTACAGCTAGGAAAAAGCGTTAATGTTGGTAGCAGAAGTTGGTAGCTACGAGGTTGTCAATTATCCAACTGAGTTCTTTAATTCGCTTTATTTGCCAGGCATGCCACCCCATGTTTTAACCTTGAAAGTCTCTATTTTCCATGTTGCCAAATTACGCCACAGCAACGCGTGGCCGGGTACAGCTAGGAAAAAGCGTTAATGTTGGTAGCAGAAGTTGGTAGCTACGAGGTTGTCAATTATCCAACTGAGTTCTTTAATTCGCTTTATTTGCCAGGCATGCCACCCCATGTTTTAACCTTGAAAGTTGGCGTGCCTGTTATTCTTCTCAGAAACATCAATCCGCCACATCTTTGCAGTGGTACCAGGCTTTCAGTGAAAAAGATGGTGCCCAATATCATCGTAAGTACAATTTTACATGAACATTTAAGGGCCAGGATATACTATTGCAACGCAATTCCAACAGACATGCCATTCAACTTCAGATGCTTGCAGTTTCTGGTGCGACTCACCTTAGCAATGACCATCAACAAATCACAGGGACAGTCAGAACAATTGTGTGGACTACATTTGGAAAATCCATGCTTTTCACATGGACTGCCATATGTGGCCTGTTCAAGCGTCGGAAAACCTACTGATTTATTCGTGTACGCACCAGGCGGAAAAACTAAGAACAATTACATTTTAAATTGCCTGTTTTTTCCTAAGGATTTGTAAACAGCACAATGATCCAAAATAAATACTACATATTGTTATATCGACTTTCCTTTCAATTGAATTTCTATTAGAGGCGTAGCAACGCGCGCTTGGTACAGTTTACCATAGCAATCATTTCGTAATTATTGTGTATTTTTCCTGTTTTCATAGCTTTTCACTTGGGTAACTACTTTTCGAAGCGACTATTTTCTTTCTTTTCTTCGATGTACAGAAGCAGCTAGATATATATATTATATATTATATATATATTTATATATTTCAATTCAGCCAATACTATAAGTTCTCATTTTAAGCATTTATTTTACGCATTTACAAAATGTCTGATACAATTTTTCGTTATTTGAAGCTCCACCCTGGCTATTGCCAGGGGCCGCAATATTGCCCGGCCATAAATATAGTTTATTGGCTGAACGAGGTTTCTGTGACCTCTCCATGAGTGATCCTAATCCACATGGTGGCACTTTATGTCATCGAGTGTTTATCGCTTGTGTGATGTCCTAGTGGGGTAAAATCTACTACTACTACTACTAATCTGCCCCCGTCCCCCACCCCCCACCAATGTTGGTTGTTGTACGTCTGCCTGCCATTGCTTAGGTCGGTTGTAGGTAGGTTGTTGTACCACACTAGGACATCACACAAGCGAGCGATAAACACCCGGTGACACCATGTGGATCAGGATCACACGTGGAGAGGTCCCAGAAACCCCTTTCAGTCCGTTAGGCCATATCAATGGCTAGGCCATATCTATGTCTGGTTATATTCAGGGCCCCCAGAAAACCCAGGGTAGGGCTTCAAAATAACAAAATATTGCACCCCACATTTGGATGACTTCATATCATAGTTCGGTGGGTTCTATTAATCTTGAGTAATAACAATATTTGAATCGAGCCATTGAGTTTATCATATCTACATAGGTAAGAGTGGAGTTCATAAAGAATTGTGTGCGTGTGTGTGTTTTAAATATATACTATTACACTGAGTGAGTGTCAGATCACATAGAGGTTTAAAATAGTGCACACGTGGGAGTTAAATGGTCGTAGGGCAAACAAATATGACGGTGAAGAGATAATGTTTAGACAGACTTACATATACTTCGTTACACCAACTGGAAAGAACGGAAAGAGACGGCCGAACAGAGATATGAATGGGGCGGGTGATATCTGTAGCAATGAACCTCAAGATCTCCGAATCCTGAAGAAGAAGAAGATTACAATGTCTAAATCATATAACTATAATTTATGCATATTAATAATTTTGTTTTACACTTCCAGGGATCGTTCGTAGCTGTGGTCTTCTGTTATTTCAGTAAAGAGGTAATTGTTATCCTTTTCTTACCATCTTTTCCATATGTGCGGGTGGGTGTGTATGTTTGTGTTTGTGTGTTTATGTATGTACATGTATTGATTTTGGTGTACTCTTCTTTTCCCTCTTCTCTTCCTCCGTTTCTTCTTCTTCTTCTTCTTCTTCTTCTTCTTCTTCTTCTTCTTCTTCTTCTTCTTCTTCTTCTTCTTCTTCTTCTTCTTCTTCTTCTTCTTCTTCTTCTTCTTTTTCTTCTTCTTCTTCTTCTTCTTCTTCTTCTTCTTCTTCTTCTTCTTCTTCTTCTTCTTTATTTTCTCCTCCTCCTCCTCGTCGTCCTCCTCCTCCACCTCCTTTTTCTTTTTCTTTTTATTTCTCTCTGCTTCTTCGTCGTCGTTTGCCTTTTACACTCTAGTGGAGTATATGCCATCAATCAACTGGCATCAAAACATCATGTCTTTTTCCTCATGTCCTCGCTACCCTTAGGTGTTTTTGCAGTCTTTGTTTATAGATCTGAAATTTCAACAATTAGTTTCTATTCATTGTTGTGGTTGATTGCTGGGACGTCGCAGGTCAACCCAGCCTAAAATGGGTACCAGGATGGATGTCATGGGAAAGTAAAGATGGCCGGCGTAATGCTGACCACATTACCCACCTGATGCCGCTGGTCTGTAAAAATATGTGTGCTCTTCTCATATGCCCGATAGCGCCAAAGGCGTGGAAAGGGGAGGTTTACTTTACTTTATTTCGCCAGCCATCTTTACTTCTCCAGGACATAAATCCTGGTACCCCGTTTAGGTTGGATCGACCTGCGACGCCAGATACCATAATCAAAATCCAGCAGTGGGTTTAGATCGCAGTACATTGGAGTTATTAGTCGAACTCGCAACGCCTAAGCCACGGACGCTGCTTTTTCTTCTTCTTGACCCACGGTATTTTAGGATTTATTTATGTAGCATTTTAGTTCTTAGCATAAGTATTAATAATACTTTTTCTTCTTTTGAATTGAAAGTCACAGACAGATTGATTTTTTTAATGAAGAATTCAGTTACCAACCTTTTTTGTTTCGTCCTAAAATTTCCGACTTTTTAAAATTGCAGGTTCAAGGTTATTTAAAGTCATCTTGCTGTAGAAAAAATGGCCGCCACAACAACCAATGGCGGTCTCTTACCTTGACAACAAACGTGCCGATAGCAGAGCCTAATCGCACTGGATTAGCGAATGGTAGTGGTGACTCGCATCACATGATTCCACTTCAGTCAACTGATCACAAATATCGAGCCGCCATTGATGAAAAGCAAACAGAAAACCTCATGAAAAAAAAGGACACCAACGAGATTTCTGAATCCATGGAGGGAGAGTTTCTGTTGTACCAAAAATAACAATAACACAATCAACTTGTAGATCATGAATCATGTTAGCAGAAGATTACTTTCAGTCATCCAGTACAGTTGTTTTCTAAACTTCACTTCTTCTGCCCATACAGATGAGCTATAACTACATGGTGTAATGTTAAGATGCAAAAGGAAAAGACATCTTTGCACGCTTTTGAACTATTGAGCATACAGAGATAGAGCTATACTTTATTTTTTTAAATCTACACCCAGTGTGTGAAGCGATCTACATCACGCCTGTCACCCTAACTTCCCCTAACTTTATCTCCTACCCATTTCATTCTGGATCTGCTAGGACTTGAAACTTACATGTGTGTTTGCTAATAATTCCCGTCCTTTTTAGGACGACATTTTTCGTTGTTTGAAGCCCTACTCTGGCTCTTGCCAGGGGCCGCAATATAGCCTGGCCATAAATATGGCCTGAAGGCGGAACGCGGTTTCTGGGACCTCTCCACAGTGATCCTCACCCACATGGTGGAACATTGTGTCATCGGGTGTTTATCGCTTGTGTAATGTCCTGGTGGGGTAGAAAGTCAGTCAGTCAGTACCTGAACCTACGACATTCGGAAGCAATGCCAGCGTCTAGCTGCTACATTAGGGCGGCTCCCTTGGTATAAAGGTGCTGATTAAAAACACTACAAAACATAGGCCACACGTCTAATATTTCATAAAGGTGAGTTGCGTATCCTCAACAGGACGATGCAGAACCAACCCCAACAACCCCTGGCTTTTGTGTGGTTTTTTTAGGCAGTAGTTTGCCATTGCCTCTGGGCGGTCGGCTTTCTTGATACCACTGTCGAAACCAATGCAAGGCACATGGCCCGCAGCTGGGATCGAACCCGGCATCGCGGCATTACGAAGCGTTCGCATCGACTTAGCCACAGAGTAGACTAATAACTAACATACAATGGCCTAATATAACATATGTCTGTGCGAGAAGAACATAATTTTGTGTTTACACTGAGACAAGAGACACAAGGTTGGGTAATGAAGGAGTAAACGACCCTTTTACAAGCCTTCAGCGCACTGGGGATTTAGGGCTAGACCTAAATATTATAGACCAATCGCCGCTTGGTGGGTGAGTGGTCAGCACCTCACCGGCCGCCTTTACTTCCTAGGACTGTACCTGGTACCCGCTCAAGGCTGGGTCCACCTGGAAGCCAAGATCATTTTTCAAAAGTCCGTCTGCGTCAGGACCTTAACCCACGACCTTCAAGTCCGCACGTGAGAGTTTAGCTGCTACACCACTGCGACTCCCGAAGTATCTGTAAAGTACCCCAACATAACAGTTTGCATACAGTTGAACACGGTGCCTGGGATGTGATCCTGGTGGATAGTGCAGATTGACGCCTTCGGAGCAGACAGTCAAAGACGGACTGTCGCAGTTTGAATGAGGCCAAATGCAATGAGCTGAAGACAGGAGACTTCTTGGAAAACAAACAGGCATCAAAACGATCTAGCAGCGGTTCTCAAACTGGGAGCCGCGGCACCCTGGGTGCATCGGAAATAATCAAGAAAAGTCGGCTTAACATTCTAAAATTATTAAAGAGTGCATGCAGATACTTTAGAGGTAAAATTTAAATTGTCTTTCCTCGCCAAACTCGAAAAAAGTTCATTGTTTGTTTCACAGTCAGACATGTTTAATGCTGCATAAAATGCCAACCGCAACGTTCTAATAATTTTCCTTGTATTTTTCTGGAGGTACAACCAAACCTCTACCTGCATTCATTAAAATGCAGTCTATAAGTATAGTTATGTTTACATTGTCTTGGCAGACACCTGCGAGCCTATGCCATCCAAGTTGGTCTGCCTAAGTTCGCGGAAAGGCAACTCACGACCAAAAGAAAATCTGAGGAAAACTAAGAAAATATGATCTAGCTACCTCTGTTTGTTGGCTTTGTTTCGGTTAAGAACGAACAGGCACCGAAAGTGCAATGCGTTAACAGCCATAGAAGTGTAACGGCTGCTTTGTTCCGCCTAAATTAAACAGTCATTTGAAATGCAAACATTATGATTTAGTTCATAAATATTAGGAAATCTTCAAACGCCGCGCTATGTCGTTTCAGGCAGGGTCATCCAAGATGGAAAGATTTTCTAAAAATTAAAATTAAAATGATATAATACAATATCATTCAAAAAGATTCGTTCATCGCATTAAATTTACGTACCTATTTAGTACAAACGTGGCGTAGTGAGAAGCTTGTTCAATCGGGCCAGAAAGATTTGCACCGAAGACACGCTGGCTGCAGAAATTAAAACTCTCAATTCAACTTTACTACTGAATGGGTACCTCACAGGTTTCATCAAACGCCATTGCACCCCACCCAACCCTACCCCGAACGAAATTACAGTATCCAAACTACGAGTATATATCCAACTTACTTATCGAGATGAAGACATCATGCAGCGTCTGCAGGACCGACTGAAAACAGCAGTTGGCCAACATTCTTTGCGGCTGTTTCAGTAGTGAGGTACAAGACCACTCCTATCCCAACCCCACCTATAAAATAGCTACTTTCTCCGTACACCAAATCTGATTGTATTTACCAATTTACATGTAAGTGCCAGTTTACTTACATTGGTCGAACGGAGAGAGCTTGGAAATAAGAGTGGCAGAGCACATACCCAAATGGCTACATTCACAGCTGAGTGACTCTTCTATGGTGTCGAGACCAGACAAGAGGAAAGAACCCGCTTCTTCCATAGAACGGCATCTACTGAATTCCAAACAAATAATTGATACAGACACTGCTTTCCGTGTGGTTCACCACACTCTGAACAGGAGACTTTTGAGAATCGCAGAAGCCAAACAATAAAAATCAAAAACCCTCTCCTTTGTAAGCAGACGGAATTTGTCGTACTTTTGAAGTTACCCTGGTAGTTAGTGACTACGGTGAGCTTCCGGCGGCCTTGATAGAATGTATCGAAGAAACTATTCGCATTTCAGTTGAATTTATTCAGTGTTGTGCTTTATTTTATATTGATGTAACTCTGTAGTAACGCACCTGATGAGATACAGCGAAATATGCCTGGCAATAAATTGTGCAATGTATTGTTTGTATCCGCATTATTTAAATTAATTACCGGAAAACATTGTTTTGAATATTAAATTTACTGTTTTTCTTTTTTTCCTAAGTATTCAAACCGCTTTAAGTGTAGTTGTGCCACGATTTTTTTTTCCCCTGACAAGGGTGCCGCGGCGAAGAACGTTTGAGAATCACTGCGATAGAGTATCAAAATTATTAATGATGACTAACCAGCGGCAGAGCTCCATGGTACCATGGGAGTGACGGTTGCAGAAATAAACCTTCTGATAGCAGACCTGGAAAGCATCAGCGACCGGTCACCTAGTGGCTCACCGGTAGACGTCTTCGTCGCTGGTCGGCACAGTATTTCGGCCTCTCTTTCGATCGATTAAACACTGCAGGAGTCTTTTTCAGGGCTTTTGGTAGCGTGCAATGATAATAGCTATTTTGTATGGCACACATAACCTAGTCACAATTATAATCTAAAGTTTATCTTCCGCGAAATTCTGGTTGAACGTGACGATTTGTATTCCCCAGCAAAGCAACTACCTAGACCTGGGTGAGAAATACCAAATAATAATTATAATGAATTAGTTTATGCTGAAATTTGCTACACTAGAACTTTCTCTTCGGCTGGCACGATACAACGGGTTTGCATCTCTGCTATATCTATGTCTCAAGATCAAGAAATATGAATACTGGCACTCTTAGTTAGTCTCCTGTCTAGGGAATGCTTCTTAATAAACAGTGGGAACATTCTCTCCCCCCCCCCACCCCCACCCCTCCCTCACAAAATATGCTACGGAACAAACACAGGAGCTACAAGGAACACGCCATTTCCCCCTTATCCTGTCCCAATGTGGGACTCAATTTTTCGTTATGTCAAAGCCCTATTCTGTCTGTAGTCGGGGACCCTAATATAACATAACTGTTGAACAGGGTTTCTGCGTGATCCTCTACCGAATGGTCGAACATTGTGACCGAAGTTGGGCGCTTGTTGTACGATCCTATTGGGGTTAAACGACACACATAAAATATTTTTATTAACTACTTTTGCTGTTTCCACTTGAAATAATAATTCATTATATTCGAAGCGTACTTTTAAATTATTTTGTCCCCTAATGGTATTATCTAAACTTTTCAAGACCGAGACTGTAATTTTGTTTAGCAACAGGTCCTTAATTGAAAATTGAAAATGAAAGTTTAGTATGGGAAAACGAAGACACACTTTAGGTGGCTTACATTATAAACGCAGTCGCTTTAATTCCATTAAAATTATGCATTGCTAATGACTACTGGAAAGATCTGTGGAAAGTGGGACACAGAAAGACAACGCGAGAAGATTCTTGACAGCGTTTTATCATGGCATGGAGGGGTGTCAACCCACGAACTGATACACGCAGTAGCAGATGACAAATTGTGGAGAAGCATGATCGCCTACGCCAGGCGGTGAGGCCCTTAGTGACTAATTCTTTCCTGGCACGTTTTTGACTAATTTTACACTGGATTAGTGTTTTTTACTGCGAGCTGTAACTAAGCACACGCACGCGCCCACGCACACACAAGGCTGGAAGGCTTTATTGTTTCAGACTGAAAACTTTAGTCATTCTACATATCATAACATTAGCTTTGGTCATTTTACATATGATAACACTAGCTTTAGTCATTCTACATATCATAACACTAGCTTCACTCATTCTACATATCATAACACTATCTTTAATTATTCTACATTTCATAACACTTTCTGTAGTCATTTACATATCATAACACTAGCTTCAGTCATTCTACGTATCATAACATTAGCTTTAGTCACTCTATGTATCATAACACTAGCTTTAGTCATTCTACATATCATAACACTAGCTTTAGTCATGATTTTTCTATCAGGCATGTCAATCTTAGGCAGATTAAGAATTCTTTGTGAGGCTGCGTGTGTGCCACATCTTTAAAATACCTATT